AAACTTTTCGAAGTTCGTCTATTGGCAATTGGCATAAATATAAAATCTTAAAACGGAAGTCCGATGTAATGTGCCTATAAAATATAAATGTTCGTAAATGTAAAACATCTGTGTTGTGGTTTAAGAATTTTGTCTTCTGTAATTTTTGCTCAGTTTTTGATTTTTTGACCTGTGTTCGACGAAAGTTTTAAAGCAATTATCTATTTCTGAAGTCGTTTGTTTCCCTCATTTCCTATTATGAACGCGCTCAAGTGAAAACTTACAGAAATTAGAAGTAAGTACTTACCACTCACCTACTCATTTCTCGTTGGTACTTAAGAATTTAAATGTAAAAATTAATAAATATTGAGCAACATAAACAATTTTTATTGTATGATYGTCAGTAGTGAGTCATTAGGAAATGTGTATAGTAACACATATAGTACCTATTGTTAGGTTACTACTCATTATTCATTATTTAAATTATCTATTTTACTTTGAGGATTCTGGGATGTAATATCTACCCCCTATGCCCCCATCTCAAAAAAAAAAAAAAACTTGATGGCTATAATATTTAAAATATTTATAAAAATTGATATTTATTTAATCTAAAAGTATTTAAGTAATATATATTTACATTCTGCACATAGTTCCTAATGATGAATGTTCCCATTAATTATGTGCCGTGAAATAAAAATTGTTGCTGGATTACCTACCTAGATAAAAGATAATTTAAGAAATCCAAAAATTTTAAGAATAATTTTTTTGCTATAGATAGGTTAGCTACTACCTACRTTAAATCTTAAATGCTTAACTATTTTTTTAATTAATAAATTCATATAGATATACCTATTATAATTGTTATTCAATTATTATTGACAGGGCCGTATTTAGGAATTTGACRCCTTGGGCAACAAAAAAAATACGCCTCATTAATCATTATACAAAATACAAATTTAAATTATAAAAAAATTAGCCGTCCTCTCCTACTCAACCGACCAGGGCAACGGTACCTACCCTGTAG